GGTGGTGGTGGTGTAATGGTGTGGGGGATGTTTTCTTGGCACACTTTAGGCCCCTTAGTGCCAAATGGGCATCGTTTAAATGCCACGGCCTACCTGAGCATTGTTTCTGACCATGTCCATCCCTTTATGGCCACCATGTACCCATCCTCTGATGGCTACTTCTAGCAGGATAATGCACCATGTCACAAAGCTCGAATCATTTCAAATTGGTTTCTTGAACATGACAATGACTTCACTGTACTAAAATGGCCCCCACAGTCACCAGATCTCAACCCAATAGAGCATCTTTGGGATGTGGTGGAACGGGAGCTTCGTGCCCTGGATGTGCATCCCACAAAATCTCCATCAACTGCAAGATGCTATCCTATCAATATGGGCCAACATTTCTAAAGAATGCTTTCAGCACCTTGTTGAAACAATGCCACGTAGAATTAAGGCAGTTATGAAGGCGAAAGGGGGTCAAACACAGTATTAGTATGGTGTTCCTAATAATCCTTTAGGTGAGTGTATATCAGCCGATATCGTTATGGTGGCCAATATAGTGCATCCCTACTTTGAAGTTACTTTGGATAAAAGCACCTGCCAAATGTAAATAAATATAATTTATTCAATACTGGAAATTATTAGTAAAAAGAAATAGATCAATCTAATTTAATATTGAATATTTTACCAAAATGTTTCTGTGGTTTGAAAATTTAGTTTTTATTTCGTTTAATTTTGTCTTATGCATGACACGTGTTCTAAAAATGGCCACACTCAAGTTAAAATAAGTTAAACTTTTAATAAACACATTGCATTTTTGTACTCAATTTGATCACGTTTGTGCAGTCCACTATGCTACTTTTCCATTGTTTATCTAAGTAAGCATGCCCTAGACGGATGTCTTTGACAATTGTACTCGAGTCTCATATTTTCAGCGTCTCGCGCATGACGCTGCGTTTCAAAAATGTGGTGCTCAAGGTAAAATAAGGGACCATTAACACAGATCACACTTTTGCATCCCACTGTGTAGTTTTTCCCGTTGTTTTTCTATGCAAACAAGTGCTAGATGGACTTCTTTGACCAATGTGCTCGCGTTTTGGGTCTTGTGTAGTGTCTCACGCACAATATGTGTTCTAAAAATTGTGGCGCTCAAGTTAAAATAAGTTTAAAGTCTCGAGGCTGCATTTTCTATTCAACTCTCCTGCATTTTTAAATACAAAAACATGTTCTGTGTGAACTGCCCCTAAAATGCAGCTGGAGACCTTGCGTTTTCCATTCTGCTGCTCACATCTAATGATTTTAACAGCCCCTTAGAAGGCAGCCGTCTATGTAGACAGTAAACAGCAAGGCAGCTCACTAGGTTTTGGAACAGAGCTCCTATCTCGCTCCCTTTGAGGTGAATATTCATTAAGCTGCCTCGCTGGTTGCTTCTGAACTCAAGTCAACAAGCGTGCCTTTCATCTCACACTGTTTTTATGGGTAATCAAGCACAAGGGTCTGGGTAATTTTACAGCCTTGATCTCCTGATCGGTTCACCTTGCGCACACAGTGCATGCTGCACATCACATAGTTAAACAACATGCAGAACATTGTTGCCGCCATATTGCTTTTACGGATTCAGGTGAAATTCTGTATTAATATAATTTTTGTCACCTGATGGAGTTTGAGTTCTTTGCCACTGACACCTTTGGCTTGCTTAGTTGGGGACACTTAATATTCAGAAATATTATAGATTTCACTGCACTGACACTATTGGGTGAGAACTGAACTCAGCTGGATGATGACATCACTGTTTTCCCCAGAGCTGCTTTATAGATGAATTGAACTCATTTCATAGTTTTATACAAATTTATACAAATGATGATGCTCTTCTGGGTGGTTGATTACTGACTTCATTCTTGCCCCTAGATATGGTTTACATAAATGTATGTTTTTTTGTTTTTGTTTTTTTGTGTGCTTATTTTAGTGTCTTTGTTAGTCCGCAGTGGATTATGCAGTGTTGAGGAAAATAACCTTAAAAGGTTAGTCTTTACAAACTTTCTGGGCCAGCAAGTTTCAATTACATAGAAGACGGAGGAGTGAGACAGCTCTCAGATTTAATCAAAAATATCTTAATTTGTGTTCTGAAGATGAACAAAAGTCTTACGGGGTTGGAACAACATGTGGGTGGGTAATTACTGACAGAATTTTCATTTTTTAATGACTAACCCTTTAAATATTTGTTTTTTTCTTAAGATGCAATCACATTAGCTGAATTTTGCAGGGGAAAAAAGTCCCTTGTCAAAGATGTGGCGATGTATGAAGCACAACTCAGACAGAAGTCACTTTCGAAACAAGCAGCTTTCTATTGGTCAACGAGGCAAATTCACATTACCAACTGAACCCAATGCAAAATTTGTGTCAAATTCCCGAACGCGTCATTTCCAATTGAAATGTGGCCGCACTTTTTGACCATTGTGCTCGTGTTCAACGTCTTTTGCAGCGTCCCCGTCTCAACACCATTCTAAAAATTGTGGCACTCAAGTAAAAAAAAAAAGCATTTCTGAAGCCCCTTTGTGAAGATTTACTCCCCACTGTTCCCTTCGTCTCTATTGCATCTCAGTTACAAAGTGACTTCACTGGCTGCACATAAAAAGATCTGGCTTCATTATGAGCAGAAATCAGAAAAGAATGTAGACGGCAGACAGATATTCCCCAAGGCACAGACAAAGACACGAACATAGTTATTAGAGCTGTCCATGCATCGCATGTCCTTCCTGCGAGTTCGCAATCAGCGCCTCAAGCACGGCCATTTCAAGACTATGATATCAAGATGAAACGGATCTCCCAGAATATGTTTGTGATTACGCCACTTCTGTCTTATACTATGAGACGAAATATAGTTCCGGCGCACAAAACACACAAAAATCAATCACAGCGGCCTCCAGGGAGATAGAAAATTTTTCCGAGATGAGGCCAGAGAGCTATGATTAGAGCAGAGAGGAGATGGCAGAGATTAGAATGAAATAGAGAGACGGCCACTACAGTGCACAGATGAAAATAGCGACCGGTGTATAGTTCAAAATGTCCCTTTGGACAGTATGGCGTGAAAGCTATTAAAAGCCTGCCATGGGAAAAGGCTCTGTGCTCCGAATACTAAATGTGATCTAAAGCCCCTGCAGATACAATCACATACCCAGCAATCAATGCATTTCTCCTGCCACCTTGATTTGCTTGAGTGGTTGGCAGAATGTCTGCCCACAATCCCCTGTGTTCTCTCATTGTACAGTGCTTGCAATGCTGAACTGTATTAATATTCCTCCAATATTCTGCTCAGGGTTTGTTCTTAACCTCTAACCCTAAGCAGCAATTTCATAGAGAGTGCAATTAAAATCTGTTTTGAAGATAATCTGTTTTAGGCGTGTGTGTGCGTGTGGCACTTCACCAACCTTTATGCACAGAAACAAGCTCAAAGAAAGCTGTTTGTCTCTTTTGATTCTGATAAGACCAAGGTAAACACAATTCAATAAAACGCTCCATGCTTGATCTTAATCATAAAAACAAGCTTAATAGTAAAACGCTTTGTATTTCACAGATTTCATACTACAGAGAATCATTCTCTCATTTCGCAGAACATTTGAACATGAATTAAAATGTTTCATTTGTCCATAAATGACTCATTCTGAACATAAATGCATGCTTTAAAAATGTGCAATAATCAGAAGTTAAATGGAAAATATTCTGTGGCTGAAGATGTATACTATTATTAAAATGACAGTCTGTACGGTAATTTTAATGTTTTTGAAAGAAGTCTCACCAAGGCTGCATTTATTTGGTCAAAAATACAGAAAAACAGTAATATTGTGAATATTATTACAATTTAAAACTTTTATTTTAATACATTTGAAAATTTAAATGATTCCTGTCATGTCAAAGCTGACTTTTCAGCATCATTACTCTTCAGTGTCACGTGATCCTTCAGAAATAATTCTAATATGATTTGATGCTCAAGAAACAGTTATTACTGTAATCAATGTTGAAAACAGTTGCTTCATATTTTTGTGAAAACATTTTTTTCAGGATTCTTCCATGAATAGAAAGATCAAAAGAACAGCATTGATTTGAAATATAATTTTTTTGTAGCATTAAAAATGTGTTTACTGTTACTTTTGATCAATTTAATGCATCCCTGCTGAATAAAAGTAATCATTTCTATTTTAAAAATGTGTGTCAGGAGTTTTGAATTAAATTAACATTAAATTAACTTAAATTGTTGTAATTAATGAATGCTTTGGAATACAAAGGTTGTCTCTTTTTAAAGACACTCAACAGATTTTTGCAGAAGTGAAAGCAGGATCAAAAAAATTTAAGTGTAAAAAAGTTTACATTTTAGTTTACTGTAAAGCAAATGTACTGAACTAAACATTTTCATTTTACACAATGTATATTTTACTAAATAATTTTGACTAGAAAATTGCTAGAAAATGAAATCCAGTCTTGTTCCAAATTTGAAGTTGACAACAGAAATTGAGCCCGCTAAAAGGTTTTAAAGTACCGTTTTCATGGTAATGCAATGTTCAATTTCAAAACATTTTGAGTCTTTTAAATTATACCTAATTTATGATGATTACTAAAATATGTCATAGAGAAAAAGTCAATAAAAAGTGACCCACTACTGACAGGTAGCAGGCTAAAATACTGTCTAGACAGGCAGCTCACTAGCTTTTGGAGCAGAGCTATTGTCAATCTGTACTGATAGACTGATTATTTAACCTGTTTTCAGTGCTGATCTCAAACCTACACTGTAAAAAAAATGCTGTTGTTTTTTGAAAAGTTAAAAAATTACTGGAGTACATTTTACAGGAAAATACCATTTCCGTCCTTCTACTATTGTTACAAAATATTACATTCAAATCAATGTGTTACTAGCAGATTCTTTGTAATTCTTTGTGAATTTCTATTAAAATTAATACAAAAAATTCCGTGTATGACAATTTATCATTTGATTATTATTGCTGCGGTTTGAGGACAAGTTGAATACAAGTAGCGGCTCCATCCACAGTAAATATTCAGTGTTTTTGTCCATGCAGGAGACCGAGAACAAATTCCCCGACTCCTAGGAAATAAACCACCTGTACGATGCCAAACAGCGGAGCGATGACCAGTGCGCGACAGTACGCCCCCTTCAGGAACGCAGAGGGACCCTCGTGACGGAGAATCTTACTGTGGGGAAGATTAAGAGATGTTCAGAGAATCAAAAAATTTGTGTGATGGAGGAAACTAAACTTGTATGTTAGATTCACTTTACCGAATACAGTCTTTCATTCCGCTGTAAGTCTCATCGTGACATCCACGGGCCAAAGACTGAAGCCTGGTTTTTAGCACTGCAGCACAAACACACACGCATACAAATGATTAGTTTGCAGTTTTCTATAAGAGACTAGCTGCTTTTACATTGATCCTAATAATCTGATTGTAATCAGACTAGTAGCACAGTCAGAATAAAAAAATTTAAAATGACCCATAGGGGTCACATGTAACCACGTCTATCGGAATGAATTGGCCAAATACGATTGAAATTTCATTCCGATTGTGAAGGGGTGGTTTAAATCTTTTTTATTCCATTTGATAGCACATGTAAACACTTGATCAGATTGAAAACCCAAACCGAAACGTTCTGCGCATGTGCAATGATGTAGAAATGGCGTATGACGTATGACGCGAGGAGCTAGCTGTTGTTGTTGAATATAGTGTAATAAATTACGTGTCATTCTCCTTCCACTCATCGTATGTGAAGTGTTGCAGGACAACGTTGTCCCATTAGTCCTTGCGGTAACACTTTAGAATAATGGTCCGACATTAATAAGTAACTATGCAGGAAGTAGGACTAATGAGTGGTACATTAACACTTCAGCTACTACTATTAGCTAATATAGAAACAAGCTTAACTAATCAGTAAGTAATATCAAATGTAGGAGATAGTTCCTTATTAGGTAATTCATAATTAGAAGAACTTGAAGATTGTCTTTTTTTACTCAGAACATGCTCATAAAATGCCAAGAACCTAGTCACTCTTCAAGGACTACTATAGTGATCTGGACCATTATTTTAATGGTCCAGATCACTAGTAGTCCTTGAAGAGTGACTAACACTTGAGTAATTAGTGATGCATTTTATGACATAAAAATGCATAAAATGATTACTGATTACATCTCAGAGACACATAATGAGGCAAATCTCAGTCAGTAATTATGAATTACCTAATAAGGAACTATCTCCTAACTTTGATATTACTTACTGATTAGTTAAGCTTGTTTCTATATTAGCTAATAGTAGTAGCTGAAGTGTTAATGTACAACTCATTAGTCCTGCATTACTTCCTGCATAGTTACTTATTAATGACGGACAATTATTCTAAATTGTTACTGTCCTTGCTTAGGTTCTCATCCATAAGACGCCTTGTTTGGGGTGCGGGAAGGGGCATTTTTACTGCTTGATTAATATAAGCAGCAGGGCAGAATGCTTTTTGTGCTATTCGTCTCCTAATTAGGTAATAGATCAATTATAATAAATATACACTCACCGGCCACTTTATTAGGTACCCCATGCTAGTAACGGGTTGGACCCCCTTTTGCCTTCAGAACTGCCTCAATTCTTCGTGGCATAGATTCAACAAGGTGCTGGAAGCATTCCTCAGGGAGTTTGGTCCATATTGACATGATGGCATCACACAGTTGCCGCAGATTTGTCGGCTGCACATCCATGATGCGAATCTCCCGTTCCACCACATCCCAAAGATGCTCTATTGGGTTGAGATCTGGTGACTGTGGAGGCCATTTTAGTACAGTGAACTCATTGTCATGTTCAAGAAACCAATTTGAAATGATTAGAGCTTTGTGACATGGTGGAAGTAGCCATCAGAGGATGGGTACATGGTGGCCATAAAGGGATGGACATGGTCAGAAACAATGCTCAGGTAGGCCGTGGCATTTAAACGATGCCCAATTGGCACTAAGGGGCCTAAAGTGTGCCAGGAAAACATCCCCCACACCATTACACCACCACCACCAGCCTGCACAGTGGTAACAAGGCATGATGGTTCCATGTTCTCATTCTGTTTACGCCAAATTCTGACTCTAACATCTGAATGTCTCAACAGAAATCGAGACTCATCAGACCAGGCAACATTTTTCCAGTCTTCAACGGTTCAATTTTGGTGAGCTCTTGCAAATTGTAGCCTCTTTTTCCTATTTGTAGTGGAGATGAGTGGTACCCGGTGGAGTCTTCTGCTGTTGTAGCCCATCCGCCTCAAGGTTGTGCGTGTTGTGGCTTCACAAATGCTTTGCTGCATACCTCGGTTGTAACGAGTGGTTATTTCAGTCACTGTTGCCCTTCTATCAGCTCGAACCAGTCTGGCCATTCTCCTCTGACCTCTGGCATCAACAAGGCATTTCCGCCCACAGAACTGCCGCTCACTGGATGTTTTTTCTTTTTCGGACCATTCTCTGTAAACCCTAGAGATGGTTGTGCGTGAAAATCCCAGTAGATTAGCAGTTTCTGAAATACTCAGACCAGCCCTTCTGGCACCAACAATCATGCCACGTTCAAAGTCACTCAAATCACCTTTCTTCCCCATACTGATGCTCGGTTTGAACTGCAGGAGATTGTCTTGACCATGTCTACATGCCTAAATGCACTGAGTTGCCGCCATGTGATTGGCTGCTTAGAAATTAAGTGTTAATGAGCAGTTGGACAGGTGTACCTAATAAAGTGGCCGGTGAGTGTATATATATTAGGTATGCTTTTTAAAACAAAGAAAACTAAAAAAAATTATTTGAGGATTGTTAGTATGTGCCAACAATGGGAAACTCTGTATATTTGTGCAGTGTGCACATGTCAAAAGATCAATTCCAATTTGTGTGTGACATATAGGGTGCTTCTCAAACGGAAGGCTGCATTTCTCGGCTGCCACATCATAAAGCGCCGCTGAAGGCCGTCTCAATTTAAAGGATCAATGGAAGGCAGCCTTCGTTTCGCGTCCTTCATTTAACTCATTTTGAAGGATGCAGAGAGTGTATCCTTCACGTCCTTCAATCACCCACAATCCTTTGCACACATTCCAATTCACGAAAATAAGTCGGCACTGAGCTTGTCTGGGTTCATTATGAAATGTAAGACAAAAACAATGTTTTCGGAAATGAAGGCATAGGTTATCTTTTGTTTTGGTGTAAATTAATCAATTAACACTAAACTGCCAATGATGTAAGCCACTGTGAGACCACAGACGGTTGTCACTCACTGTAATGCATTAATAAAAAGCCAGGTAATACTAAGATGTGGGGGGTGGGAACACGTGTGACGTAGCCATGCACACTTATTAGACATTCTCATTCTAGCGTTCAGTGCTGAGGATACCTAAGGACTGGAAGGACACAGCCTCACTAGGACGCAGCCTTCCTTTTGAGAAGGAAACACACACATCAACCAGATCACTGTATTGAGCGTTCATGTAAACACTATGTTTGAAAACACAAACAAAAGATGTCCATGTAAACATAGCTATACTGGCATTGCAAGATATTTATGACATGATGTAATGTTTGCTGACATTATTAGGGTTTTTTAGGGGGAAAAGGGAAACTTTTTAATAGTATATTTGCCATTTGAGATACTTAGGCTTTTAAAAAATAGTCACTGCCTGACTGAATTAAGTGCTGCAATGAAATCTGAGATGCACTTTGATATTGGCTTACTGACATATGACTTAATTGCGGTTTAAAAATAAATGTTTTTGTCATAATAGTGTCACACAATATTACACGCAAACCAATCTTTTCTGATTTGTTTTTCATTCTAAGATTACTTTTGAATTGTTTGGGTGTAAGACCGGGGTAAAATGTGCCCCTTATGGATTTAATATCAAATGCAATTGTTCAATATAATACATTGGCTTAGATAGAAAAGCCCCTTTCACACAGAGATTCCGGAAAATACACGGATAAAGCGACCCGGGATTTGACCCGGGTTCGTTTGATTTTGCTTCATTCACACTGCCAGTGATTTGCCGGAATCAGAGAGTGCGTTCACACACAACCCATGTACCGGTATGTTCCGGAAAGACACGTGACATCGATGTGACATGTAATGTCTCAGCAACGTGTATAGTTTGCTTATGAGCTGCGATTTCTCTCTGGAGAAACCACGCTTGTGCGTTTTTTCTCTGATTCGATCATAAACTAGCGCATTACGTAGGCCTACCGTTTCACTAGCCTGCTTTCACTTCACTTCAGCGTCATCATTACGACACGGCATTGGTTACGGCTTTTGTTCACACAGCGCGCGTTCCGGGTCTGAACACGGCAATGTTACTAGGTCCCCAACCCGGCATCGATCCCGGCATCAGTCCCGGGTCGTGTTTGCGTTCACACAGAAGGCACTCTGGCAATTTGCCGGGTTCAAAGCGCTGTGTGAAAGGGGCTATAGATAGATAGATAGATAGATAGATAGATAGATAGATAGATAGATAGATAGATAGATAGATAGATAGATAGATAGATAGATAGATAGATAGATAGATAGATAGATAGATAGATAGATAGATAGATAGATAGATAGATAGACTCCACATAAGACCATCATTATTCACTCTCAACTACATTTCCCATAATTCACTGCCCGGACTCATCATCCCTGATTATCACATTCACCTGTGTCTCATTATATTGTTTAGTTCACCCCATATAAGCCTGGTTCACCTCATCATTCCCTGGGAAGTCTTGTACGTTGTTCCACTGCATTTCTGAGCGTTTCCTATGTTGTCTTTGTTCCTGGTTTTCCCGTTCCTGCCTCACCCTCTGGATGTGTCTGTTTGTTTGGATCGCCTGCCTGTGTATGACCTTTGCCTTGATTCTGATTACGATTTTGATTTACTTTAATAAACTACATTTGGATCCTCAACCTTCGTGTCTCGGAGCAGTTCATGACAGTTTTTGTATTTTTGATCAAATAAATGCAGCCTTGTTGAGCATAAGAAAATTCATTCAGAAACATTTGAACCATATTGGTTTTTTTTTAACCATATTGTGCATCTTATTAAATCCATTGTCATACAATGTAGATCATCTCACCATCCACAGGGTTGACCGCAACAGCTGCAGTGCAGCCTGCAAGACAGCCAGAGAGGAAGGAGATGTAAAATGGAGCTGAACCGTCAGTGTTCCTCCTGCCTAGGCTATTCAGGTTAGCAAACAGTGGGAAGTAGATGATGGAAAAGGGCACATCCCTGAGGGAGAGAAAGAGAGAGAGTTCGCAACTGTGAGACAAAGGATGGAGAGAAAGCACATTATGACTAAAAGCGTCCCACAGTTTGAGTGACTCTGTCAGACTACCGTAATAGAGTGGCCCCCAGTCCCGTGTAGAGACCAGTGATGCCTTTGTCCTTCAGCAGATCTCTAGAGAGTTGGAGAGCTGTAGGAGACTTCCGCTGAACAACATTCGCTTTAGCCCCTCCTCCTCCGCCATGCCGGCCAATTAGATTCCTCTGGGCCTCTGTCAGAAACATTGGCTATGTTCAGAATAGCATATTAATCATACTAATTCTACAGTATATACACTACTGTTCAAAAGTTTGGTCAGTAAGATTTTTTCAAGGTATTGATACTTTTTATCTATTTATTTAACATTAAATTGATCAAAAGTGACAGTAGAGAAACATTTATAATACTACAAAAGATATCTTTTTTTAAAATAAATGCTGTTCATTTCAACGTTCTATTTTTCAAATATTCCTGAAAAAAATGTATGACGGTTCCCACAAAATCATTAAGCAGCACTACCGCTTTCAACATTTAATAATAAGAAATGTTTCTTGAGCAGCAAATCAGCATGTTAGAATGATTTCTGAAGGATCATGTGACACTGAAGACTGGAGTAATGATGCTGAAAATTCTATAATATAATAAAGTGTATGTAGCAAGGTGTCATGTTCTATGCTGCTGACACATGTCCACATTTCATGTTTAATTCGGCAAGTGGTGTCCTGTTATAATCGTTGATATTGTGGTCAAGGTCATTTTAAGTGCATTGCATTGTGGGATGCAATATTGTTGCTCTGATGTGCACGCCACATTTTGCCAAATGTAGTGTATCATCCAGTATCCAGTGCATACAGACATTTTGTTATGCTTACCGTTCACGTACAAGACACTATCAGCGGACAAGAGACGTGCCAACGATGACAGAAAGTTGTATGTATATCTTTACCTATTCTGCCGGCATCCTGCAACTGGATCTTTAACATCTCCATAGGAGTGGTTACAATCACCTGCCAAAATACAGACCGCATAGAGACAGAAGTTAGTTAAGGTAGTAAGATTGAAGGAATGTTTAGGGTTTAATATAAATCATTTTAAGTGTAACTTCACAGATTTCCAACCCGCTTAGTATTGTTACAATCTCGGTAGTATATGTAAATGAGTTCACTCATTCTCCGTGCTACCTGGACTGAGAAATTCACGTTTATTTGTCAGCAAAAGTCACGTTTATTTTGACAGCGCCACGGCTCTGAAAACTACAGATTGTACTTTCGCATTTTTGTATCTCCGCCCACAGACAGTCTATTAACAATATTAATCTATCTGTTATAATCTATATATAGTCTATAATCTGAATATAAACAGAACAGTTATTGTAAGAGTAGGTTTATCACTGAATATTGTATCATACTTTGTCTTTATAAACAGCATAATGGTAAAAATGGAATGGAAACAGCTTTCTTACATGTACGCGATGGCAGTTTCTTTCAGTTTTTTTCCCTCCGTTTGCCCTTAAACACGGTGTTCGTGCATGGTCATCCATTTTGAAATGTTGACCACAAACACAGATCGGATGTTTTTCATATTTTCTGTCACAGCTTTCTATCCAGATTTCTGATTCTTTGCAGCCTTTAGCCGCCGCCAACAACGCGCTGTATCCTTCACTGGAAACCGAAAGTAAACTCACTCCTTTTTAAAATTTTGACTAAAGTTTGCTAAGAAGTATTTCCTACTAAAGCAAGGCAGTATTTGACTCTGCTAACCGTATCCATAGCAGACTGGTGGGAGTGGCCTTGGATGGCAACATGCCCAGTGCATTATGGGTATTGAAGTTTTCCTACCTACTTCGCAAAATGGATGACAAGAGCATTTTTCTGTTTTCTCTAGTCAGGTGGCACAAATTTCTTTCTTTCTTTTTTCTTTAAAGCTGCTGTCCGTAGCTTTTTTGGGGTTAAAAATTATCCAAAATACATATTTGATAAAATACATAACCAGCCAGTGTTCAAAACTATCTGCTTGCCTTAGCTCGATGCAAAACGGTAAGCTTGTAATAATGTTTTTAATTTTAGTGGTACTGGTGGATTTCCGCGGGAGATTCGAGCATGTCTTTGCGTCATTACGTCACATCTGTACACATAAAGAAGGAGTCTCGGCTAGTATAAGCTAAATTGCGTGTGAGGATGTTGGAGGTCGAGATTTATAGCCTTTTCTCACAGCAGCACTTGATATAATTAAACTTATCAATTTGATGGCGGATCCAGAAAGGTTCAAACGACGATCATCATCAGTGACAACTAGAGACTCACCCGCTGTAACATGCAAAAGACTTCGTTCGGACTTCGGAGTGGCTACAGAAAAAAAGAGACTGCAACCGGACCCATGCGAAAACAAGGATAATATCGGAAGGACATTACATGATGTAGTCACGCAATGCTTGCTGACGTTGTTAACATTAACAATTAGAGAACATAGTATAGCTACTTTGCACGGTTTTGCGTGATATGATAACTTATAAGCAATTGTTAGATTTAATCAGCGCGATTTACTGCAATGTCAGAACCAGAACAAAATTGAATGTTTCTTACTAGTTCAGATGACATTTCCCGGTGAAAATTCTTATGTTGGTCATACTTCCAAAAAGAATAATCTGTGATTCTGAATGACAATATCCACATCGGCGCGGTGACTGACAGCTAGTGATGGGCGGATCGATCCTGAAGTATCGATACTTCGATACTGACGTGGTATCGAAAAGGATCGATCCTCACATAAAAATATCGATCCAAATGTGTATTTTTTTTACCAGTAATTTTTTATTAATTTAGCACGCAATTCAGTGCGTAAAATAAGCTTCTAAGTGGAAAAATAAGCGAATGTTAGCGGGTAATTGTGCAGGATAGAACCTTTTATCCTAGTCATCTGTATACAAGACGAAACCAATCAATCACAGAGAGCGTTCGATGCTGGTGCTTCGCTGAGCTCACATGCCCAGTGCGTTTGGGAAACGAAGCCTTGCTTAGATGACAGAGAAACAATCGGGAGTTATTTCGCAATAAACAAACCAAAACTGTACATAACGGTTTAAAATGTTGACGTCAGTAAGATCTTTTTTATGAAATTAATATTTTTATTCAACAAGGATCGATGCATTAAATTGATAAAAAGTGACAGTCAAGGGTTTTGCACTCTTAAAAAAAATCTACTTCATATAAATGCTGTTCTTTGAACTTTGTTCATCAAATAATTCTGCATAAAATGTATCATGGTTTCCAACTAAATATGAAACTGTTTTCAACATTGATAATAATAAGAAATGTTTCCTAAGCAGCAAATCAGCATATTAAAATGAATTATCATCATGACTGGAGTAATGATGTCGAAAATTTAGCTTTGATCACATAAATAAATTACAGTTTACTATGGCATAGAAAACAGATAGCCTATGTTAAATTGTAATATTACAGTTTTTACTAAGAGAAATAAAAATCTTACAGACCCCAAACTTTTGAACAGTAGGCTAGTACTAGTAGGCTATTACTATAATTAGGGTAGTTTTGTAAAAGTCACTGACTAATTAAAGGGGAGCTGAGAGCACAAATCACAAAATATTTAGGCCTAGTAGTCATGAAAACGTGTTCAGATTTAGCATATTAATGATGCATTCACCTCATAAATCATGACACACTGCTCTAGCACAGGAAAGTGCATACAAGTTCAAATTCATGCTTTTAAAATGAAAAAGTATCGGTATCGGTATCGATATCGGCGATACTGGCCCTGTATTTACTTGGTATCGGATCGATACAGAAATTTGCAGTATCGCCCATCACTACTGACAGCTGCACACTCTCCTCAAACACTGTGTTCATCCGCGCTGTGCCGTGTCGAGGGTGTTGAACTACAACCCACGTAAAGTTGATAATTCCGCGAATGACTGCAGATTTCGAACAGAGATGGCGACAAAGAGGAAAAATGCCGGACTGCAGCTTTAAGAAATGTGAGAAATGTGGGTCGTATGAGTGCAGCAGAGAGAGTGACTAACTTGGCAGGTACCCGCCCCGCAGCCAGCTAACATTTCTCCAACCAATGTCAACTTCTGTCTGGGAGAGAGCCAGAAAAACAGAAAGATAAAGAGGGAGACAGAAGGAAGGAGCATTATTTTAAGATGACGATAAGCCCGTTTCCTCTGTAAACAAGAAGCTCTGGGCTCAGACCCTTACCTTGTGTGATGACATCACACACCAAAACAATCACTCACACACATTTATTTGAATAATTTATCTGTTCATTGCAGTCTACTGAACTGTATTAATAAATAATTTAGCAGTCTGGCTATTAGTCACCACGGAGATGCTCACCCAGCTCCAGGTATTTAAGGTGTATTGAGTTGTACCGCAATTTCTATCTATAATGCAGAAGCATATGGAAGGCTTTTATCAGATCAGCTCTGTTTTCAAAACTGCGCAAATCCAGTGGTGCATTCATTCCCTTAAAAAATAAGACTTCATCCAACCTACATTATGCCCGCAGCAAAAAAAGAATAAATTAAAAAAATGAGCATTCCTCTTTCTAAATCAGTGCAACTGTTAAATAAGTTATGAGACTTCCATTACGTCCCACTGATGAGCACATTCCCTGTAAATGAGTCATGCAAATGAGCAAATTAATTAATTTAAATTAATACGAATCACTATAACTATGAAGGTTTATTCTGAAAGGTTGAACTTTGATTGTAAGGGTAATTTCATAAATGTCAGGTTGTTTCAAGTTGTCACATGCATTTTATAATTACAATTTCTATTGGCCAAACAATGTATTTTATATTGATATTTTTGCTATTTTCATTCTTTGATGAATTCTTTGTCGTTTCTGATTAAATTTAGCAGAAAAGTCCCTTGAAAACCTTGATATGTTGTGGAAGATGGCTGTTTTATTTTAGATAGTATTGCTTATTTCAAACAAAAGTATTCTTCTCAAATGATGTCAATTGTGTAATGATTTACCCCATAGAGTATAGTGACGAACAGTGTTTATTTTTCTTGGAAAAAAACTGTGGAAATGTTCAATTGCTTTTTAGAATTTATATACAAAAATGTATATATATTATGTCATATAAGTTTTAATAGAGACATTTATCTAAAAAAAACTACCCTTAGAAATGGACAGGGTTAAAAAGTAAGACAGCTAACCGAGTAATATTATTATTATAAATATATATAAAATTATATATATTCCGAATATAGTTGTTACATGTGTGTCCTGAGTTTCCCCCCGTCACTGTGTATTTGGTTTATTCCTGTGTCTCAGTTTTCCCGCTCCTCGTTAGTTCTCAGTTCCTTCACCTGTGTCTAGTTCATTTGCCCCAGCTGTGTCTTGTTCCCCTATCTGTTCTGTGTATGTAAACCCTAGCCGTTTCTCAATGTCAAGGAAGGATCCTCGGAAGCCGGTATTTCGAGGATGCTACGTCATTGACATCCGTCGAAGGACTGTTCCAATGTCGAGGATCCTCAGAATTTCAACCAAGGGCGGAGTCCTTCGTTCGGAAAATATCCCATACACAGGAAAGGATGCATATGTGTAGACTTCGCGCTCTTCGCGCTCTCAAATCGCCCACAATCCTATGCGCGCAGCTTTGCTATCTTGTTAAAAAAATACAAAATGTCGGACGTTAGCGGAGTCGGAGCAATAATGGGGCAATATGCTTTTTGAAATGTAAGTATATTTACGTTACCATACATTTGTTATAACCGTCATTTAAGTAAAGTTTAACGTTTAAATGCCAGTACAAATTACTACCGTATTGATATTACAAATTATACAAATATAGCCTATACAAATTACGTTATTGCTGGCTAACTGAACCGGACCTGTCATTTTAACAATTGTTTCCATTTTTGCCGCGCCGAAACCAAACGGACCTTTTCACTGACTTAATGACGCTGTGACGTGCACTTGCTAGCCTGTTCCATTTACGTGTTCTCCGAATGCTAAAGAGGTGCCTCGCCTAGCCTCTGAAGGAAGTGACTTGGAAGGACGAGTCCTGCCAAGGAAGTATCCTTGACATTGAGAAACACCTCCTGTGTTCTGCCTCACTCCTTGTCGGTTCTCGTTGATGATACGTTTGTGTATGGTGTGTTGCTGTCTCCTGTGATCCTTGTTTTGTTATATTGAGTAAAGTATATTTGAATTGGACCTGTTGACTGCTGCCTCTTCATCTGCCTGCACCACACCCGTAACAGAAGAACCGAACTTAAAGAAAAGAAAAGAGGGAAGATGGAGATCTGGAAACAAGCCTTTGTGGGAACCCGCCAAGCTGTGTTCCGTGGGACCCGTGGAGGCCGTAGTAGAGGCGGTGGTCGAGAGGAGTCCCGACACCACTCTCCACTCTGGCCTCTCTTCGATCTTGGGTTGGTGGTGTCCAGTCCAGCCAAGCCTTCGCCGCTGGTTCCGTCCAGCACCAGGCCCTCTTCGCCGCTGGTTCCGTCCAGCACCAAGCCCTCTTCGCCGCTGGTTCCGTCCAGCACCAAGCCCTCTTCGCCGCTGGTTCCGTCCAGCACCAAGCCCTCTGCGCCACTGGTCCCGCCCAGTCCCGAGTCTATGCATCGCTCCATACCCACCATACCAGTGGGGGTCTTGGTAACGTTTGAGGAGAACGAGCTTGCTGACTGGGACACAAAGCTTCCACCATTGATCCCAACCAGCCCAGAGCCGCCATCGCTGATCCAGCCTTCTCCGCCGATCCCGTCCAGCAGTGAGCCCGTCGCCTGCCCGCCAGAGCCTGAGCCCGTCGCCTGCCCGCCAGAGCCTGAGCCCGTCGCCTGCCCGCCAGAGCCTGAGCCCGTCGCCTGCCCGCCAGAGCCTGAGCCCGTCGCCTGCCCGCCAGAGCCTGAGCCCGTCGCCTGCCCGCCAGAGCCTGAGCCCGTCGCCTGCCCGCCAGAGCCTGAGCCCGTCGCCTGCCCGCCAGAGCCTGAGCCCGTCGCCTGCCCGCCAGAGCCTGAGCCCGTCGCCTGCCCGCCAGAGCCTGAGCCCGTCGCCTGCCCGCCAGAGCCTGAGCCCGTCGCCTGCCCGCCAGAGCCTGAGCCCGTCGCCTGCCCGCCAGAGCCTGAGCCCGTCGCCTGCCCGCCAGAGCCTGAGCCCGTCGCCTGCCCGCCAGAGCCTGAGCCCGTCGCCTGCCCGCCAGAGCCTGAGCCCGTCGCCTGCCCGCCAGAGCCTGAGCCCGTCGCCTGCCCGCCAGAGCCTGAGCCCGTCGCCTGCCCGCCAGAGCCTGAGCCCGTCGCCTGCCCGCCAGAGCCTGAGCCCGTCGCCTGCCCGCCAGAGCCTGAGCCCGTCGCCTGCCCGCCAGAGCCTGAGCCCGTCGCCTGCCCGCCAGAGCCTGAGCCCGTCGCCTGCCCGCCAGAGCCTGAGCCCGTCGCCTGCCCGCCAGAGCCTGAGCCCGTCGCCTGCCCGCCAGAGCCTGAGCCCGTCGCCTGCCCGCCAGAGCCTGAGCCGCCTTCACTGCTGGTGCACGCCTACCCGCCAGAGACTAAGCACACCACACGTAAGTCCACTCAAGAGGACACTGCATTGATGGTGATGTCTGCGGCAATTTTGTGTGTGTGGGCTACACACACATCAGTTCTGGTCCTTGCATCCAGTCCTCCCGAGCCTTCTCCGCTGGTCCCGTCCAGCCCTTCAGAGCCTTCTCCGCTGGTCCCGTCCAGCCCTTCAGAGCCTTCTCCGCTGGTCCCGTCCAGCCCTTCAGAGCCTTCTCCGCTGGTCCCGTCCAGCCCTTCAGAGCCTTCTCCGCTGGTCCCGTCCAGCCCTTCTGAGCCTTCACCGCTGGTTCCATCCAGAATAGCCGGCCCTTCACCGCTAGCCCACCCAGAGACTTTCCACGTCCCGTCTGCCCACCCAGAGACTGTCCACGTCCCAGAGCCTGTCCCAGAGCCTGTGATTCCCCCCAAGAAAGTTTTGGGGGGGGGGATATAGGCCACCCGAAGGTGCGTCTCCGCCATGGCCGCCCCAAGGGGATTCTCCGCCATGGCCGCCCGAAGGTGCGTCTCCGCCATGGCCGCCCGAAGGGGCTTCTCCGCCATGGCCGCCCGAAGGGGCTTCTCCGCCATGGCCGCCCGAAGGGGCTTCTCCGCCATGGCCGCCCGAGGGGTGGTCTCCTACTCCGCCATGGCCCCCTGACCAGCCTGCTCCGCCCTGGAGGCTTCCTGCTCAGGGTAGGCCATGCCCTCGTCAGCCTCCAGGGCGCCCGTTATGTTACATGTGTGTCCTGAGTTTCCCCCGGTCACTGTGTATTTGGTTTATTCCTGTGTCTCAGTTTTCCCGCTCCTCGTTAGTTCTCAGTTCCTTCACCTGTGTCTAGTTCATTTGCCACAGCTGTGTCTTGTTCCCCTATCTGTTCTGTGTATGTAAACCCTGTGTTCTGCCTCACTCCTTGTTGGTTCTCGTTGATGATACGTTTGTGTATGGTGTGTTGCTGTCTCCCGTGATCCTTGTTTTGTTATATTGAGTAAAGTATATTTGAATTGGACCTGTTGACTGCTGCCTCTTCATCTGCCTGCACCACACCCGTAACAATAGTAATATAATTATATAAATATGATTAATAATTATATAAATTCCGAATAGAACTGTGAATGCACTTAAATTTAATGCAGTTGCAAATTCCTCAATGTATCTCAGTTTCTTAAATTGCAGAATTCTAATTTAAGCTTCTAAATAAGAAATTAAGTTCTGTTTGTTGTTTTCCCCCCACATGTAAAAAAGTGTTTTTATTGTCACCCATCTTTGGAGAGCTGGTGTCTGAAGAAATCATTGGCAGCCAGTTTAATGGCCTTTTCTGGAGTTACCAGAGTCAGATTAACCGCAGCTCCTAGAAATAAAAGTGTTAAGGAAAGATATATTAAGAAAAGGGGATACATGATGGAGTTTTTCCAAAGCATGAACACTTCCAAATGATGTAAACCAACATATACATTGTGAAACAGTATGACATTGTGATCACCTCTGTACATCCCACAGAACCCTTCTGATCGGATGGTTTTTATCAGACAGTCAGACCTGTGAATTAAACGCATATACAGTATATGCATGAAGCACAGGCATTCGTTTGCTCAGACGATGAAAGGAACATAAAACATACATGCTAGTGTAGATGCGAGATCCGTTTTGCTGGTTTTGGAGGCGTGTTTTTGCCAGATCAATCGGAAACACGCAAGTGACACCAAACAATCCAGCAATGCCTCCATTGATGAGTTTAGCAGGCAGGCTGAAACAACATTACACATTAATCTAGAGTACAATAGAAACCATGCCATCTAAAAAGAGTTCACCTTATTGTGTTCAAAGGTCACATGTTAAGTTTCAACTCATTACTGAAACTATCTGTACTTATGTGCTAATGTTTAAACATCTAAATTAACTGGTTTAATTCAACAAAATCAAAATAATTAAATAAGCTGTCAGTAAAAGTAATTCATAAGGGTCCGATCAAGTACCAATAGCTAATGGCCCGACTCTACACAAGTCAAGAACATCAAAACAAATGCATCTAGCTACACAATTTTAAAATTCATATGTGTTTTCCAGAAATGAGAATAGGCAAACTGTTAGCTTTCTGACTAACACATCTGATTTAATGGCACAGATATTCACTTCACTCAGGGGAGTTGTGAGGTCTGTTACATCACAGTAATCATATTAAAGGTGAAGCATATATTTTTTTTCCATGTTAAAATACTATCTTGCTTTTGTGTACTTGTGTAGTTCATGGTTCCCAACTATTTTTACTCTACAGTGAGTATTGGCCATTTCTCTCTATAAATAAAACTCACCTTATCTGCTTTCCAGCCATTTGTAATGAAGACAAAGCGATCAATAATGTCACAGAGCAGATTTTATGAAATTACATCTGCACATATTTTGAGTGTCGAAAACTTGATGGAAACTGAATCAGGAGTAGCCGATATTGAATTCCAGCACATTTCTATTCCTGTTCCAGGTTGTGCAGTATGTACTCAGCTGCAGGGATGTCCAACACGACCGGAGAGAAGATGGAGATGAGCCGGACTTCAGGCTGCTTTACAGACTCTCTCTTAAGAATTCCTAGAAACATCACAATGACAATTAGTATCAAACCATCTAAATACATAAACAGGCGTCATCTCGTGTGTTACTAGTGTTTACTAAGTTTTCTCTGTATACTACTAATCTGTATTTTAGCATAAGATTTTATCCATTTACAGTAGTGGCTAAAAGTGATGTCCAGTGACCTCACCCTTAATTCAAATTTGTTTACGTGTTTGTAAGCATATTGTGTGGTTGTGCTTTGAGTCAAATGTTTTATTTGTGGTGATAATGCAATGAAACATGCCAAATTGTGCGGACATATTTGTTTGTAAGACAGCCTGGACAAAAAATGTATGAACACATGCAAAAACAAGAGAGAACCTGTATACAAAATATTAATATCAGATTACATTGTAGTCAATCTATGCTTTTTCCAGTGAGCGTTTTGTTTTTCTATGAGTTTTTCTTTGCAGAGTAAAATAAAACCTGTAGCCTTAGTTTGCCTTTTTTTTTTTTACCATATAATTTTGTCAGATAATACCTTAAACAAGTTTAGTGTTTTGTTCTTCCCTCATATTTAAAGAATATAAGATATTTTGATGGTTTAATTGAACTTATTGGTCATTAAAACACACACATAACACAAAAAAGCAGTGTAAGTGAAATTAATTAAATATATTACAGAAAACAAACCTTATAAACCCATACAAATATGCTTTGTGGGTAAATTTATTTGAATTTTTTTTATGTATTTATTGTTTTAGGGATGTTCACAGTTATTTTTACAGGACAAAAAGACAAAAATACTGAGAATTATTTATTTATTTTATTCGTTTTTATTTTCAAGTGCTGCATGAAACTATAAAATGCTCAAGGATATGGAGTGAGTTTCTGTGGCCATGGCAACTGCTGAATACACTACAAACATCACAATGTTTTCTGGACTTCAAAACCATGTGCAACAAAGTCAGGGAATAGACAATTTAGAGCGGCAGGAAGCAGGTTCAAAGACGCACTGTGACAGCAGCACAGATGCCATCAAAGCCGCTCACTTTCACTCTGGCCTGTAGTATCCATTAGTGAAAACCCAACACAGTAAGAATCAAAATAATAATATCAGAGACAATGACAGGATGTGCTCAATTGTCTATTCTGTATTCAGAGGATCTCTCTAGAGGTGCTGTGGTGTGTGAAAGCTTGATAAAAGCAGAGGGGTGTGTGTGTGTGTGTGAGAGAGAGAGAGAGAGTGAGAGATGAATCTGAGTTATGAATCTAAAATCCACATGAATTATTGGTATACTACTCTCCAGAAACAGCATGAAAAATACACCTGGAAACATAAGAAAAATTAAAGGCAAATTTGTTGTCTTATTCTACTAAGTCTGAAATATGAAAAGAAAACCTTCAGAACCTTCAGAAAATGTTGTTTTTCCACCTTAGTGTAGCTGTATCTACAGAGAGAATGTGTGAGGCAGGAAGAAGATATTGACAAAACTTTTAATGAACAGGAACAATGAAGGCAATCGACTGAGAAAAACCAGGGGCTTAAAAACACAGGGTGGAACAGAACTGGAACAGAAAAAGAAGTGTAACTAAGGAGAAGCTATGGAAATGAATAATGACCGGGAACGCAGGGAGAAAACACAATGAAACTGAACAGAATCCGAACACTGAGGAGGTCAAACTAAATATTACAAGTGAATCTATAACAAGCCTGAATGTCTGAATAGTTTAAAACCATGATTTGTGTTATTGCTTTATTTTCTATAACAAATAACAAATCTTATAAACATATTAACAGTTCCAATAACATAAAATATTCTGATATAAATAATATATATTATAATATTAAGCTAGCACAGTACGGACCAAATACTGGCTTGTGTTTGTGATAAACCCAATTACATGATGTTACAAATCTGTTGGCAGATGCTTATATTCAAAGAGACTGAAATAAGTTTATAGCAATGCATTTAAGCAATGTTTGGGAATCAAAGCCAAGATCTTTGCATTAGGAGAGCCATAGTCTAGTTGAGTTAGAGGAACTAACTAAAACTTTAATTCTATGTTAATATTAGCTTATATTTTATCTAACTCACCTAATAGTTCTCTCTCTAAAGAACATGGGATTTGTGATTTTATTGCTTCAAAAAATAATGGAAAAAGTGCCAATTAAGATATGCAAAACCAGAATGAGTTCACTACCATCTAAACCATATCATAACTTGGGTCACCAAATGCAGGTTCAAGACATTTTGTGTATCAGTTTTCGATTTCCTCTCCTAAAAATAGCCTAAAAATGTCTCCAGTTTACAAGCAAACAGAAAAATGGCAGCAGCAACACGGTTCACGAAATGCACACAGCATTTCATTTATAAGATATGATTGACAACTGAGGATTTGTGGCTTTTAAAATGACTCTTTGAAAAGTACAAATCAAAAACTTCCCAAAAAGCAGCTTTTTAGAGGCACTTGTTTAATATCAAAATAGTTTTTAAACCAATACAAAGAAAAGAAAAATCACAAAAAAGAACATTTTTTCATCAGAGAGAGGAAATTAAATGGAGATCGCAAGGAAACCAGCCTTTTCCTTGGAGAAAAAGACCCTATGAATCTCACAAGTGCTAAGATTTGCCGAGAGACTGCAATCAAATGTCAATAATCTCAATATAATTACATAATTTCTCATCTAATTCCTTTAAAACCAACTGATCTGAGCTGCTATTCACAATCATATATTAATTTACAGCTCCATACAAACAACTCAGTATTTATTCTTATTAATCCTAAATAACTATAGGAGAAACATCTGAGACCAAGTTTATACTTACTGGAAACCCAACTACTCCATTAAGTCTCCTGAACTATGAACGAGCAACTCTGTGCGATATGTTTTTCTTCTGGGTAAAGGCTTTGAGGTTTTTATCCTGTGCACTACGGCTAAAACAAGCCCGTTGAATGATGTGACAAATAAAACTCTGGCAAAGCCAGCATACTCACATTTATCCTGAATCTACATGGCAGTCTTCACAATGCATCCCATTGAGAGATTATGTTCAGAAACCCAAAACCAGCCATTGATAAGACTTACAGGAACACAGGCTGCTAGTGTACAAGGCAGGAAAGAGAGAAAGTAAATAAGGTGTTCAAAGAAGACACAGAGAGTGAAAAGACCTGGGAGGGAAGATGAGAAGATGAGAGCAAAGCCCTAAAAGGGTCCCACAGACTTAGCCTTCAATGTTCTCTCTGCTTTTCTTTTTACAAGAAGCATTAAAGCATTTCAATTTCTTATTTGTGTCTGCAGTCCGATTCAATACATCTGCCCCTATAAAGGTATTTGGATCAAATATATATAAGCAAATGCTGCAGGAGTTTTTATCAGAACTTTCGTCACTTTTCTCCATAGTTTTTGTGGATGTATGAAGTCAGTTTTCCTCTAGTCTCATGGGTGTCTTACGTTAATAAGTTATTATTGTCTTAACTCTCATAAGTTACACTAAAACATCAGCAACATTCGGATAAACACAGAGCCGGACAGTAACGGAGTACATTTACTTGAGTACAGTACTTAAGTACAATTTTGAGGGATCTGTACTTTACTCGAGTATCATTTTTGGGGAGTACTCATGACTTTACTCAAGTACATTTGAGAGGCAAATATTGTAGGCCTACTCTTTACTCCAATACATTTCTATCCATAACCGTGAGTACCCGAGTAAAAAAAAAAAAAAAAAAAAAGTAAACAAAAAGAAAAATCTCGGAAACCCTCAATTTGTTGTTTCCCTCTCAAACGTGATTGGATTGTGCAGGCGCCACTGATTGGGACAGCCTATCAGCAATCAATCACCTTCAGCTTTCCGCCAAAGTCAACTCCATGGTCAGATTTTATATTACACATTAATGTAAGCCAAGCATTTGGTTTGATGTTCTTGAGTATGTGGTGTGTTTAACACAGTCAGGTTCAAATGTGGCAGTGGCGTAGCCACGAGGGATTTCTGATTTCTTTAAAAAAAAACTTTAGGAGGCAAAATATATTTTTACTGATTATGTGAATTACACTGCGCAAACCAAAGTAGGCTACTACCCAGCTAATGAAGAAGGGTTGGCGCTCAGTCTCCACAGTACATAAAATATTAATTTTGTTTTATTTTATTTTTCGGGTTTGCATTTATGAGGAAAAAACAATGTTATGGACGTGTTCTCCATTACGGACGTGAGCGCTCTGAAAGCGCCATAAAAAATGCTTTAAACCTTTCACAGAAACATCAAACAGAAAACACAAAACCTTTCTTTAATCTGAATTTCGTTTTGCATTAATTGTATCTTAATTTTAATCAATGTTTCATCAACCAATTTCCTGGGTTTAATAAATAAGAAGTAAATAGCAGACGATAGATAAGAAACGGAGGCGCCGGCACGTGAACTGGATCTCGTCTCATAAATGAACCGAAAGTCAGTGTATAAGGTAACCTACTTGCCTCTCACAGACATGTCTACTTTTAAACAGAAAATTTCAAAACGAAAGAAAACAGACTACAGACTGCTCTCTGCTTATGTAATCCGTATGAAAGGTGCATTTCTCTCTGGCGCGTTCACTACTGAAGGTCGCGAGTCAGCATCGTCAACTTCATCTAGCCGACACTGACAAAGAAAACACTTGTTTATTAAAGTAACAACAGGTAACTTTTCAGCCTTCATAATATATTTCCAAGTCTCTTGTGATGGTACATCGACTTACAATAGGTTGAATGACACGTCTGCCATAGCCTGACGGGGTCTGTAGCGTTTTTAATCGTACTTTTAAACTTCGGGTTTCGGGTAGTAACCGGCGAACAAAGAGAACTACAAAATTCGACTGCTTTACGGCATATACGTCACTTCCACCACCACCCCCACTTCCTTAAAATCGGACGTGCGAGCCAAATGTTATAGTCATGGCCGAAGCAGCACAGAAAAACAAGAAAGCAAAGGTTTTATCGGAGCAAAGCAAAAAGAGAAAAAGAGAAAGTGATCGCGTTAAAGGCAGAACGAGGATCAACATTGCAGAGCTGCCAACTCTCACGCATTGGCCGTGAGACACCCGCATTTAATTGGTTTCACACGCTCACACGCCACACCCCCGGTTTCTCACGCTAAATTGTCAACCCGGTCGGTCAAATGCCTGAAAGATGAGTTTATCTATAGATCTCTACCTGTTGAGCCACTCGTGATCGACAAGTTATACCGCAAATTAGTTCAAATCTCCCGGAATCTAGAGCGAGCGAGCGCGCACGCGAGACAGAGACTGTGCTCCAACGCACGCGGGCGGCAGAGAGAGAAAGCGAGCGAGAGACCTTGCGTGTGCAGGGAGCATCGAACCCCCCATCGAAAAAAGAATGCCTCTCTCTAACCTCTCTAATTCGCTAGAGTAGTAGCGA